CTGCACGACAACACCCCCGTCCACAAGTCTCGTGGGGTTGTCATTTGAGGAGTTCGGTTTTGAAGAGCTCGACCACCCACCCTACATTCCCGATCTGTCCCTACTGACTGTTTCTTTTTTTTTTTTTTTTTAATTTGATACTGTACAAAACACCTCAAGAGAACAAGGTTCGATGTCCTGAACCCACTGCAAAGTGCCTCAGGGGCAGTAGCTTGACGAGCTGGAAGATTTTTTTTTTCTCAATGTAGTAGAAGCTTTTTAGGAAAATCGGGAAGCGCAGTGGTGTGTAAGGGGATTATGTTGAAAAGTATGTATATTTCGAGAGTCTGGTAGTTGTCTTTTTATGCGAGTTGCAAAACTTTCTGGTCAGCCCTCCCGTGTACGAAACCTTAGCTATACTCGTTCGAACCGAATAATTCAATTCACCGGATGTCGTAAACAGTCTACTCAAAATGATGACACATGACTATATTTCGACTACAATCAACTATCGTTTGTTGGAATCCCGAAGTGAGTCCGACATATTTCCGCCTTACGACTGTACTTCGCAATCACCGATTTCGTTATGTATTCTTGAAATAGGTTGTTTAGAGCAACGATTCCTGGCTATAAGCATCGTTTGTAGAAACGGTTGCCAAAATGTGTGTTCGCGTGTGTATGTGTGTTTGGGGGGGGGGGGGGGATGAAGAGGCGGGGGAAGGGGGGGGGGGGGGGGGGGGGGGGTCTCTCCAATACAAGACCCAAGCGAGACGAGTCCTGCCAACATCGATTTAGATATCCGCTCACGTTCCGCGCTGTCAGACTCGCTTCCTCTGCATTCGCTTTGTTGATTGGTAGCCATGCTAATGTCAGAGGTTGGTATGCCAATACCTAGGTAAAGCTATTCTGGGGAGAAAAAAATAGATATATACATATACGTGCCTTGCTTACGACAGAATGCCAAGACCAGTCATCTGTTTTGGTAAGGCTGTTAAAACTAGTTTGCGTACATATAAGAGAGACGAACAGCTGATAAATAATGATAATGCAATTAATGTGAAGGTGCAAGCGAGCTGGAAAAAAATGACAATAATGATCACTGGAGCAGGGGAACAAGGCGGACAACGGACAAACACAAATCTCCAAACATAGTTGTGTTGTGCTTGTAAGTTTGTGTTTGTTCTTTGTCCCCCATGTTCCCCTTCTCCAAGGATTATTATCGTTACTCTTGTCCAGCTCGCTTGCACCTTTCCACTAATTGTATCATCATCATAACTTTAAAATGCAGGCCGTTTACCCTTGTTGAGGGTTAGACTGGTGGCAGCTGTTAAAACCCGTTTTCCTCTGCTGACATTTAACTCCTGGTTAGCTCGGTTGGTAGAGCGCTCCACTGAAAATGGAGAGGTCTCTGGTTCGATACCAGGACCAGGCGGATTTTTTAGGCCCCGCACCAATCCCCTCGCTGTGTTTGGAGATTTGTGTTTGACCTTTGACCTCTTTGTTCTTCTTCTCCAGGGATTATTACGGTCAGCTGATAAATGGAGCTTTTTTTGATCGCCGGTATTATTATTCTCACCAAAATCTCGGGAGTTATTTCGACTAAAGCCAAGTTATAATTATAATGACAAGTTGGCTTGTCATAAATGACCATTGATACTTTCGCATCCGCGTATTTTAAAGATGCTTTTGTTGGCCCCTTGCCCATGCGTCTATATTAATTGCTAACTCCGGTTTCAGAGATATATCCACGACGTGCCAATGATCACGGGGCTGCTGCTCTAGGTCGCCAAATAATAAGTAATTTCGGGCTTGTCATAATTGGGCATTCATCGTTCTGTGATCGCTGTACGAGCAACTCCGTATATAATGTGGCGATAGCCTAGTTATGCTATGGATCAGCACCTATACAACTGCTACCTATCAGACATAATTTGGAGGAAACTTAGCATGACTTTTCTATTAAAAAATACCCTAGGAATTATATATTTCTTTTTCTATTTAGTTTCTTGTGTACTACGTGGCCCAGTTAATATATCTACGGTGCCCAGTTAAAGATGCACCTAACCTGAACTATCGCACAATCAGCTCGCGTAAAAAGTATAAACAATCACCGACCCCTTTTTTTTCGAAGCACGAAAATGACGTCCCGGCTCGTGCATGCTGCGTGGTTTCTCACCGTTTTGATGCCGGCCTATACAAGGCTCGCACGTCACGTCAGTCCGCCATTCTCTCTGGTCGCCAGAAGCGCCTCGTTAAGGCAGCGGCACCCTCTAACGCTCCCTTTGCCCCATTAGGTTTGAACAAGTGACGTCAATGCAAGCTATGTATAGGCAAATTAATACATCACTTATGTGTTTGTATAGGGTTCGCCCTAATGCCTCCGCTCAGCTCTAATGCAAACGAGACAGAGGGGCAATGTAAAAATTATAGAATACTTTTTTTATTGATTTCTCTTTGCTTTACACCTTAACACAGAAGTCACGCAGACATCCCCCATCCAAAAAAAAAAAGAAAAAAAGAAGAGATTAAAAAACAAAATCGCTGCGCGGTTTGTCGTTGAAATGAGATAGCATCACGCACCGCCTAGTGCTGCCTGAACGTTTCTTTAGTAAACTGCCGAGGAACCTGATCTGGAAATACTTTTCGTCGACGTCCATGAAGGTGTCTACCACATTTAAATCCCATTCACGTAAGTATCTGATCTAATTGTTTTCTTCCCGCGGACTCCCACGACTAACCATTTGTTGTAGCATTAGTGTAATTCAAATTACTTACCGATACTATAAACATAATAAGACCCCCATAACTGGTAAATGTATTTGCCGTTCAGAAGCTATTCAGATGGTATTTATTTTTAAGCTAAACAAATCTGTTAAAAAAAAAAAAAAAAAACGTCAGTTAAGCGTATCCGGTTTGTGCAGGTGAGTTATACGGCCAAGAGGGCGTAATATAGGGGGCTAATCGTCACGATAAAACTGAAAATGAAATCAAAGTTGTCGCTTAACTTTTTAATAGGTGATCATTGACATATGGTTCCAATGAGAAACTTGCTGAGCGTCATCGAAAATCACAAAATCAGTAGTTCTTAGAAAGACTTTGAGCCCGTAGAAGCGCAGTACTGCGCTAAAGTTACCACTCGTGTCTCGTGCAAAAGGCGGAAGGCTGAAGTGTGGAAACGCAGTTGATAAAAGAGACGGAGAAACCGCGCGGCCGCTATATCGCACCCCATAGCCTCGCTCCCGCTGCACGAGTGGTGACTTCAGCGCTCCACCGTGCTTCCCACCTGCTTCCAACCTTTCTAATATTGAATGATTTTGTCGTTTTCAATGACAATTTGAACCCTATCTTTATTTTCAATACTTAAAACGCTTAAGAATATATTTTCGTTACTTAACCGACTGATCGTTACGATCTGTCTTTATAATACGTCCCCCTGGCCGTACAACTCATCTGCTCAAATCGAATGTAGCCTTAGCGGCTTTTTTTATATATATATATATACAAATTCGTTAAGCTTAAAGAAAAGAAACCCCTGCATTTTAGATCAAATTCGTTGGGCACATCACCCCTCGTATGCATATTTGAAGTGGGTATATGACAGATGTATGCCGTCTGCTTCGTTGTTTACATGCCGTTCGACAGACGCGAAAGTGCATAAGGTTCGCTTGAAAAGCTCAGCAGCCACGAGTTGCGGTGGCGGCGCAGCGCCGAGCGAGGGGCTCACCTGAGCAGAGTGGGCAGAGAAGGCCGACGAGGACAGCGCCGCTGAGGAAGCAGAGGGCCCCGCGGAAGCGGCGCATGTTCCACTCAGCGCGGGACCATGCCAGGGCGCGCACCTCCCCGCCGTCCTCGGGGGGACCCCACGCCCGGGCGAAGGCGTCCAGCGCCCCGGGCCCCCTCCGGACACGCTCTGGGACCCGACGCCGTCCCGCGACGACGCATCACCGACGACGCCGCGACGCAGCTCCTGCCGTCATCGCCCGGGCGACGCAACACCACCTTCCCGGAGGATGAGTCCCCCCCTCCTCTCGGCAACACTCCGCCGTCGCGTAACGTGGTCCTTGGGAAACGACGTGCACGGCGGCCGAGCTGCGTGGATACGCGCGACAGCGGGGTTAGTCGCTCGAGCGGTCCCAAGCGCACCACCGTCGCGTTGGGAAAATCGACAATCAAATGCGCCCTATCGAACGGACCGTGCCCAATCCGGGCAGAGGGATGGAGCCGCCACCTGCACGGCCGCCACGGCGGTCGACTTGGCTCGAGTGAAAAACAATAAGAGAGCCCTCTCGGGGAAACCTGGTGGTGGGCTTCTTCTCCGTGCGCCCCACTCGCTTCTCCGGAGGGATCTCTCTTTTGATCCGCTGTTTCCTCTCCGCGGGAATCGGGGAATAGTCTTCCGGCCCACGCTGTGTAGTGTGAGGCTTCGGTTCGGGGCTGCGCGGGTTTCGGCGAGGGAACTCGGGGAAGTGGACTAGTGCTGCCCCGCTACGCGGCGTGCACCGGAGCTCGCGACTGGCCGTCCACGTCAGCTGGCCGTGTTTTTTCCCCGCATGGATTTTGGGGGAGGGGAGAAGAGAAAGACGGGGGAGGGTGTAAGTTAACGATGGATACATGTACCCACTTCGTAAACGGGATGCTGGAACGTTTTCGACGCACCGGGAATTCCTGTTCTCTCTCGTTCGCGCGCCGATGTCTGTTTTCTGCTCTCGACGGCCCTCAATGGAGAAGTGTGTCTTCGGCAAGTAGGAGGAGGTCCGTCCGAAAAGCGCCGCGTTTCGGGCCTTCGGCGGTATATTTTTAGCCGTCGAGGAACGCGGTATTTATCCGGAACTTGTTTCTCGTGGGGACCCGTATCGAAGGAAGGAATTTTGTTTACGAACGCTGCTCGGTCGCGTAAACAAGACGAGAGATGGATAGGAAAAAGGCGTGCGCTTACCGCGAGAGAGGGCCTCCTACAGCGCCGTTTCCCCGCACGTCTCGGGCGGTTAGCGACAGCCAGCGTCTCCGACCGCGCGAGAAGGAAAGCGCACCGCAGTTCGCTCACTTCCCACGGGATGGCACTAGTTGTCAAGGCGAGCGCTCTCGCCCGTTCCCGCGAGAACCCGCGAGACACGCTGAGAGTGAGGCATAAAAAAGAGGTTGAGGGCGCCAGGACGAGGGGGAGGCACGCTTGCCCCCGCCACCGCTCGGAGCCACCGGAGCTCGCAGAGCTCTTGAACGGGAACGGAGAACCAAAACATTCTTGTTGTGTTGTCAAGATTTTTGGGAGCGGCGCCTCTTTTTCCGACGTTGCCGAGTGGATCACGAAATACGTGAGTGTGACTTTCCTTCGCGATGCATTCATATTCCTTTCGTCCCAAAGTAGCGACATGATTAAAGTGCGACGACAGCGTGCGGTGGCCCGAATGCGAACATCTCGGTGGCTAGAAATTTTGGGCGCATCTGTTGATTCAGCGAAGTTTCATGGTGAACCTACCCACCGTGCGTTCTGTTTTTTTTATACCCTCTTGCATACCCAAACATACTTTGTGTTATGCTTCTTTGGATTTCGTTGCGGCTGTGGGCTTACCTGGTATGTTTACGCGTGTCGACCAGTGAGCTGTAATATACGATCGATGGCTCCTTCAAGCTCAAAGCTGTGTAAGTAAGCGATGCTTCGGGATGCGATCGCGTCTCCGGTGGCGATGGCATCACACCTCCCCCACTTGCCCTCTCACTTTGGTTGGATGCGCGTGGACCCGGGGATGGCGGTCCTCGACCTCCGACGGACTGCCTTTTAGATTCGGGACACAAAGCGAGGCAGTTCCGTGAATGTTGACTCCAATTTGTACTGGTTCCGCGCGCTCGGCGGTTCCGCGCGGCTCGGCTTTATGGCTGTTGTCATGCGTGCTCCGATCTCGCAGAAGTTGGGACGTGCCCGACACACCCACTTTTGTGGCCTGCTTGTTCGCTTTAGTTTGTCCCGCCGCAGTGCAGAAAAGTGTAGGGCAGTGTATACTTCCGGTATACGACCGGGCGTAAACCGCCCTACACTTTTCTGCAGCGATGCAGGAGGTGCAGGAAAATCGAATACACAGCCCGTCGCGTGATGTCCACGGACCACAGCCCAGCTTTTGAAAGCGAGGAAATTACGCGACGTACGCACGAATACTGAGGCAATGTTAGCGTTTACGACGGAGTTGCCACTCGCATGCCCAGTAGGCAAAAACAAAAACAGGCAAAGAAAAGTGAGCTGTAATTTCCTTGTCGTTTCACTTTCTCTGTGCATCCACTTACCCCCCGCTTATGCGAGCTCTTGTCAGCTTCTCGTTCAGCCTGAAGATTCAGGAAAATTGCTGCTTCGTGACTGATCGCGTGTTGAAATGCGAGCCTATGAAGAATGCCAGCAACCGCGGGTAGTGCGACCTCCTTAAAAGCTTATTTCAGATGTGTTTCGCACTTGTCATATTCCGCTCACTCCCGAATATCTGGTGAAGGACACGTGTGACTAGAGTGATCTAAGTTTTCTTCCGGATGTGTTCGATGCCAGTTTTAGGAGTGTCAAATAATACAAGAACTAATTTTAATTCCGTTACTCAGTCCTGTTTACTCTGTGAGCCGATCGTTCTCGGTGTGCTACTCGGTCGTCTGTATTCGAAGCTTTTCACCTCTTGGAGGAGGCCGGGCTCATTATATCATTGGATGGTTAGAGATAAGCAGAGCTGAGAAACAAATTTACATTTATTATCATTATTTTGATATTTTTAAGAGTTCATCACTGTTATTTGTAGGCTTTGGCATGTTGTATGTTGTCATTCACTGACCTTTGAATGGATTACATCAGCGTCTTTTGAAGAGGCCGACAGCACGTCCCAGATGAATAACGCTGCATTTTAAAGCATCGTTATCAATTCAGGCGTGAAAACTGCACACGCCTGAATTCACTCGATGTTCTCAGTGCGACAAAATACGGACAAGCGATTGCCGCAGTTTTTGTTTTCTTTCTGTGTTTCTTTTCGAAGCTATAAATCTTTCATCAAAACTGTTATTTTCATTTTTCCCTCGGGAACCGCAGTAAGAGCAGATCGAGTCCTGGCGGTTATATAATTCATTTTCCCCACTGTGTGGTTAATTAAGATACTTTTATGCGTATTTTGATACCAGTTATCACGGAAACGATGCTAAAGCTTAGACGTGCAGCATCCTGGGTTCAATATCCGCCGACGTCGGCAGGGACGTACATTGTACCAACACACGTTCGAAGTAACATTCGTACTCCTGTACAGGTTAAAAAGTATGCGTCGCAAGCCTGATGTATATACATTGTACACGTGAAGGACCCCAGGTTAACGGTCGTATACTGTACTGGGTAAATTGCCTGTCTGCAACGTTCAATCAGTTTCGCCAAACCTACGCCAAAGCAGATGGGCCTCTCGTTGTATAAATATTCATAACGTTCCTTTTTTAACGCCAATAACAAGCTGATCGCTGACTCGGCGGCTGCTACTTGCTACTACAACATCCATTTCAGAGGCACAAGCTCCCGGTAACAAATGCTGACGGATTCACTTTGTGGTCGCGATATCGCCTTTCGTACAATTCGCGACGAGATATTACTCAAAATATTGCTCTTTCCAACTCACCATATATATATATTGAAACGTATTATCTTTCATATTCTGTGTAGAAATTGTGACCATTATAAGTTTAAAAGCGTCTCTGTTTTGTTTTTTTTGTTTTTTTTTATAATGCAAGCTACTACTTCGCGCAGGAGAAATTGTACCAGTTTGTGACAGTTATACGACCAGTTTAGCTTTTAAAGTTAAACGCACGATACCAATCACTAATGTACGTTTATTGGTTCATTTTAAGGATCCTGTTTCTCGGCCAATGTCCATTCACCGTGAGTTCCAAAATGCCAAGAAGACACAATACAACGGTCACTAGTTTCACTCCCGCGACGCTGTATGAAAGGTTTCAGATCTCGGAACGCGCAAACCGCTCTTTTCACCCAACGTCAGTTTACCTCCCTTGCTGAGCCGCCGGCGAAATACAGCATATTGTTCTCGGACAGCGGTTTGCTCGATGATGGAGGAAAACAGCGGCGGCAGGGTGTTCCAAATTACAGCGGCGGCAGGGTGTTCGAAATTCCGGAGGGCGCAACGCCACCCAGCGTAAAATACGCGAAGGAGCGAAGCGGGCCGCTACCACCTCTCCAAGTGTGGAGCGTAAACTGGCGCGGTCTGGCGGCCGATGTGTGAAACAGAGGAAAGTAAATATAATGCTCGCCGTTCAGCTTTCGCATACGAAGACGCCACGTGTCGTCTTTTAATCGCTACCAGATCGTTTCGATCACCGGTCCCCTGCTCCAATTAGGCATCGCGTTAGTGTTGGACCGAGTGCCTGCCCGATAGTCGGCGCTGGCGGCGACGCGTGCCCGTCGGCTGTCCGCCGTTGTTGCGCGTTTTTGGGTGCCTGCGATAAGAGCCAGGCGACGAATCCATCTTCATTAAGGTGTGCACCGCTAATCGCCCGATCCTTCCCGTCGGCCTAGCTCCCAGCGGTTCGTGGCCGTCTCTCGTGCCGCTAGCGACGTCGTCTTCGCACCGGCGCGATGTTACGCAGGGACGTTGGCGCGCGTTCCGTCGTAGATGAAAGCGTCCGACGAGCGTTGATGACAACTTCTTTGTTTCGTTTTTCATCTGCGTGATTTTTTGCTCCCAGAAGCTTAAGCGACGAACGGGACCTGCGATTAAGCGTCATTCTGGTTGCCTTGACGTCTTCCCTCTGTTTGAGGTTATACATGCCAATGACAGCGTAGACGGTAATATTTCAAGACGGATAACGGCATTGGACGCTTTCAATTTACAGTATGTATGGCATGCCTTAGATTGCTTGACCCCGAGATCCGTCACCCCAATTGATAGGTCGCAACAAATCCTGTATAGGATGGCACACGAGCGATTCTGAGTGATGTAGACCGTGGACGCGAATTAACTTTATATGAATCGTGCTAACTTTATTGTTTCGTTGAAATCACCCCCTAGAATATAGATAAATATACTCTCCTTCCTTTAAACACAACCTCCTGCACTCCACCAGAATTATATCTTTCATTCGGGGAGGAGATAAAGGAGTTATTAAGTATGTCGCGAGTGACCTGCGCATTCAAAATATTTCAGAGCGCCGTGCATCCGAAGTTTTAATTTGGAACAAGTGGAACGGAGATCTATCCCAGGGGCGATCGGCGGCGGAGGATGTTAACGCACGTGGAGCGAAGGCTCCCTCCCGCTGCGGAACCCAGGGACGCTCCCGCTCAATTCCTGAACGCGTCTTGGTCTGCATTGTATATAAATATACGTACCGGCGTCGTGTATTACTATCGCGTGATGCACGTTGAAGACCCCCAGGCTAGCCGTCGTACTGCACTGACCAAATTTCTCACCGAGAGCGGCGGCACCATACGCCCGTTCGGACTGACCGACTTCTCGTTCTCTAAACACGCACACAACACAACTAATTTAGGAGACACTTTTTTTTTTTTTTTTTTTGTTCTCCAGGTACGTTGAAGCAGTCCGAGACAGAGAGAAAAGACATCGCCCAAGCTTTCTGGGGTACAGATTCGTCTGGCGTCGCACGCCGCTCGAGGAGGAGGAGGAAAGAAGGAGGGAGAGGGGGATTGAATAGGAGGAATAGAGAGAGAGTAGGAGGACAGGAATGAAGTGCCGATACTCTGAAGCCCGCAGCCTTTCTTTTTTTTATTTCTTTAGAGGCTCGTGTTCAGTCGATGCCGGTCTCACGATTTGCTAAAACGAACTGGATATATCGCGCGCGCGATTTCGCACGAAGGGTTTGGGGATTCATTCGAAATTTCGCGGATCTGTGCGGCCCGAAATGTAATTCTCCGAAAAAAGCCGCCTCTATTATCTTCTGCGTTGGCCTCGCGACGTTTCTGCGTCAACAACTGGGACTGCTCACCGATTTGGAATGCTCCGTTTTCAGATCGTTGGAGGAAGCAGTGTATCATAGTTTCCGGGAATAT